AGCCTGGAGCCTGCTTCGGATTCTGTGTCTCTCTTTCTCTCTCTGTCCCTATTCCACTTGTGCCCTCTCACTCTCAAAAATAAATAAACATTAAAAAAAAAAAAAGGAAGAGCTTTAGAAATGAAACGCACTCCCTTTTGTCACCATCTGTCTCCTCTTCTTCCTTCAGACTTTCTCCACAGATATTTTAGCTATGAATCAGGAAGCAAAAACAAATGACCCTTACTTCCTGGGAGAAGGAGAGTAGGTGGAGAAAATTACTTAAGGTAGTACCAGAGTTTGAGCTTCACTCAGAAGAGGACAGGAGATTCACAGTCAAAAGGGCTCAGGTTGGAAAACCGGGGACTTGGCTTTGGGTCAGAGATTCTAAGCCTGGAATGACACCTGGGTATTCATCACTACCTAGGACTGGAGGGTCTGATGCTGCATTTGCATTGGGGGTTGGGGCTAAAATGGAAGTCAGCTACACATATGGCTCCTTCCCAAGTCCAGTCTGGGTGGGAACCTGCCTACTGGGGTGAAGGGGGTGTGAAGTCTGGGCATGTGTGCAAGTGCAGAAGTGCGTGTGTGTGGGCTGTGGAAGAGCCTGAGGGAGGATACGCTGTAGCTTCACGTTGTTGAAGAGCGGGCTCTCCTGAGCTTCCATCACCGTCATGCTGGACTGTTTGTGCAGGCGGCAGAAGGACAGGACCAGCGAGCACCAGGCGGCCAGCTGCTTCTGCCGAGTGTCCACATTCGGCTGCAACCTGCCGGGTGAAGGGGGTGGGGCGCAGAATTAGAGGGCGTGAGAGGGCGAGAGGCAGCACAGACGCAGGCGCGTCTGGGGGACAAAGTGAGGGACTAAGGGTGGTGGCGACCGGGTCCTTTCTCCCCCTCCCCATTTGAAGCATCAGGGCTGAGCCCGGGGTCCGGGGCAGGGGAGGGAGGCACAGCGGGGCTTCTCGGGGTCTGAGCCTCACGTAAAGAAGGGCGGGAAGCGATACTGCCACGGCCACTCGAAACTCATCGCCATCGTAGTAGCCCAGGAAACCCGGAACCTCCGGGCAGAGGACTTCCGGCCTCCGCTTCTGCACGTCCGGGCAAAAAGCACAGCAGAAAGGTTCCGGAGGCCTTTCCCGAGAAGGGCCGCCCAACGGAAGGTATCTTGCTTCTCTGCCAGTCTCTTGCTATGAACCTAAAAATCCGTACCGTTTAGAGCCCAGAGAAGTCTCATTCAGCTCTAGAAATGGGCAGTGACTTCCCCCAAAGCGGCATAGCTTGATAGTTTGTTTCACTCTGCTAAGGCTTCTTTTAATGTTAACACGTGTCAGTTGCATTTAACTTCACTCACAATTCCCCAGCCTCCTCAATTACTGTGTCCTTCGACTCCACCATTCCCTGGTCTCCTGCAGTACCCATGGGAGCATATTTGTAGCTTTTATTGCTGAAAATGGGTCAGCTTCCATGATTCACTGCTGCCGTTTTGGACCACAGCCATCTATCTCTCACATCCTCACCTTCCTAGTCTCAAGACTCCGGACCCATTGTGGTCGTATTTGACTCCTTACCCAGCCTAGACTACCCAATTCTGTCTGAACGTGCTGGCTGAACCCCCAGATTCCCTGACTAACCTCACTGCTGGGCTCTCGGTGCAGCCCAACACTTTTATTGACTCCCTGTCACATCCCTCCAGGTAACTCTTCACATTTTTCCGGTCGTCGTCATTCCACCTGTCTCCGTCTTCCTCCTTTCTGCAGAATGCCTTTCTCTATTTTGTGAACTTGAGGCCGAACATGTGAACTTCTTAATCTTTCCCTTTTTGTCCCTCTTTGTCACCACACTTAATGCATCCCACAAGAATTTCTCTCCACTTTTACCCCTTCATTTTGGATTCAAAGGAAGAAGTGTCCCTCTTCCTTTACAAGGCCAACCTTTGGCATATCTTCTTGCCTCTCTTTTCCAAGTGCCTCCAGGACTTCTCTGGGTGTCATCTACCCTCTTTTCCTTTCCTCTGGCTCCTCTCCCCTAGTTGACAAATATGCATAGGCCATCCCTACTTGAAAATATGTACAGTTTCCTTGACTCTGTCACCCTCTCAATTTCCTATCCGATCTTTAACCTTTCCCCCACCCAAGTTCACCCTTCATTGTGCACAGTTCCTGATCCACAGTAGTACCCAGCAAATATTTGTTGTATGAATGGATGGACCATTCTGTTGACAATGTTCTTTCAAAAGGCACTATCTCCTTTGCTTCCATGGCACTGCTTTATCCTTGTTCTGCTACTGTCTCTCTGATCTTTCTGTCTCATTTCCCCCTCATTCTTTAAATGTGTAATTTTCCATGGGGCACCTGGGTGGCTCAGTTAGCTAAGCATCCAACTTTGGCTCAGGTCATGATCTTGCGGTTTGTAGGTTTGAGCCCTGTGTCAGGCTTTGTGCTGACAGCTCAGGGCCTGGAGCCTGCTTCTGATTCTGTGTCCCTCTCTCTCTCTGCCCCTCCCCCACTTGCACTCGCCCTCTCTCTCTCTC